ATCCAAAAAAGCCCCTGACTGTGTGTACTGTGTCTTCGGCAAAACACCAAACTCGGCCGACAACGTCTGCTGTTCAATAAACATCGCGAGATGGAGAGAAGGAGAAAGGGAGGAAGCCAACTGGTCAGTCGAATCTAGCGCCCAGAGACTTCATTCTCAGAGAGGAGCGCGCCGAGTGCCTACATTTATATTTCAGGACGTCCCAAGACCTTCACTGAGATCCGGACGATACTTTGCAAGAGCCGGGGCCAGCGCGAGGCCTATGCCCTTCAACCCCGCAGCGCCTTTCGGACGCACGCCCTACGCCCTGCGCCTTGGCGCCGGATGTAACCTGGCCAGATTTCGGTGTGAAAGAACAACGATAGCAGGGACAGAGCAGATATCACATAACGCGACGTTAAATGGTCCATTGCACGTGGCGAGTGGCGAGGCTCGACCCAAATAGGAAAAAAACTCATAATGTTGTTGACTTCGAACGATCTAGTTGTTCGTTGCCGATTGATCAAGTCAACTGGGTCGAACAGGGTTCTGAACCAGCCATTTACGCGCCGTTGTTCCAGTGGATCTCGAGAATGTCCTTGACAGTCATGGTCTTGACCTCTGGGAACAAGTCGTTGAGAGTTTTCTTCGGCTGGAAGTTGAATAGCCCCTCTTCAATCCAACGTCCGAATGTGGACAACACGCCTTGCAGGGCCTCCTTCGGGAAGAATGGGTAGGCGTGCTGGTGGCTTGGGAGTTCTGTGATCTTGCCGGACTTCAAGGTATCGATCGAGTCGTAAGATACCTCGATAGGTTTCCCTGTGCGGAAGAACGGATTAGCCACACGGCGCACCCAGGCGTTGAACAGCACCGAGGGCAAGAACATTCACCACATACCTCTGACCTGCTCCGCCGTCTTGACAAACTCATTCCAGCTGACTTTGTCTCCGATGATGTAGGACACGGGCTCCCACTTATCGAGTGTCAACAGCTTGGCCGTGAACTTGGCCACATCGCGCGTGTACGTGAAGACAACAGGCGTGTTCCCGCTTCCCGGAATCGCAGCTCTGTTGGCAGCAAGGTCAAGGATGAGTATGATGGGCTGAAGGTACGACTCGACATGCGGGAAGCCCCAGTAATCCAGGAATAAGCCATTCGCAACGACGGTCCACTCAAGCTGTGTCTTGTCGAGCGCTTCGAAAAATGCAAGCTTGTTTGCGGCAAGGGGAGACCAAGCCTGCTCCGAGGTGTACTTTGCGCCCCAGACGCTCGGGATGTAACGTGTGGTTGTGCTAGACTTTTGCGCGGCTTGAATGAGAACAATCTCCTGCTGTGAGGAAGCCTGTGAAGACAGTGCGGAGACGACGGTGAGAACGTTCTTATCCTGGAGCTGCTTCGCCAGCTCGTCGGCACTCGAGTAGTCAGTCACAACAATTTGAGCACCAAGAGTCTTCTCGAGCTCCGGATCGGCCTGGTCAATCGTTAGATAAGAAACAGACGCGCAGAAAGAGTACTCAGAACCTTTCGGCTTAGGATAACGACGCTGAATTTACCATCGGCAACGATCCCCTCAACGACGGCGCGGCCAACGCCGCCAGTACCGCCGGCAACAGCTACGACTGACGACATGATTTCTAAGTAAGGTATCTGAAGCTTGGAACCTGCAGTGCAGAGACCAGGCGGGCTAGAAGGAAGCGGGTTTGTAAATAAACTTTGACGGCTAGGTTTGATCGCACGTAGGGGTACCCCTTTTGTACACTTTCAGGATCCGAACGAGAGCTTTATAACCAACAACGACCCGGACGACCTGTCACAAGCACCTTCGACATTCCGTGGCATTGTTCATGTTTGCCAGTTACAGCTTAGCTAGATTTAGAGATCGACGGAGGAGGGGTATCTACTCGGCCTGTATTAGGTATTCAGTCTGCCTACTAGGGTTAAAGCTATAATAAATGGGGGAAGAGCTATAAGTATAGCTCTATTATTATAATTGGTTATAGTAATTATATTTATTCTTTTCTCTTATCAAAACGGGCAGGGTATCAAGGTATAGCTTAATAATAAGGTAATTAGGAGTAACGTACTCCACAAGCGAGTGGAACACACAAGCGAGTGAAACACTCCGTCGCGATTCCCCAACCACCTATCTTTCATCACCTTTCTACCCACAATTAAACATGGAGACTCCTTGCAAAGAAGCTCAATTGATTCTTGCTACCGAAGCTATCAAAAAAGATCCCAAGCTAAGCATTCGGAGCGCTGCGAAGATCTACAGCGTGAGCCATGTGACGCTAGGCCGACGACTGAAGGGAACTATCTCTCGACGCGACAGCCCTCCGAATTCGAGGACATTGACTTCCTTAGAGGAGCAGACAATTATTGAGAGTATTCTGGACCTGGATTCGCGATCATTTCCTCCCCGGCTTCGTGACGTGGAAGATATGGCCAATAGGCTGCTCGCCGACCGAGGCGCGCCACACGTCGGAGTCAACTGGGCTTCAAACTTCGTCAAGCGACAACCACAGCTAAAGACGCGTTTCTTTCGCAGATACGACTATAAGAGGGCCCAATGTGAAGATCCCAGACGCGATAAACGCGTGGTTTCGCCTTGTACGGAATGTGGTTGCGAAGTACGGCATTGCGGCCGCAGATATTTTACAACTTCGATGAGACCGGCTTTATGATGGGCGTTATCTCAACAGGAATGGTCGTCACAAGCTCGGAAAGGCGCTCAAATACGAAGCTCATACAACCTGGAAATCGACAATGGGTCACAGTGATCCAGGGGGTTAATTCCCAAGGCTGGTGCGTCCCGCCGTTTATCGTGGTCGCAGGCAAATATCACCTCTCGAGCTGGTACGAAGAAACATCCCTACCAAAGGATTGGGTTATCGCCACGACTGAAAACGGATGGACTACCAATAGAACAGGACTGGAATGGATTCGGCACTTCGATAAGTACACCAGGCCTCGCACAACAGGCACACATCGACTCCTCATTCTAGATGGACATGAAAGTCACCACTCGATCGAATTCGACGCCTACTGCAAGGAAAACAACATTATCGCGCTCTGTATGCCGCCTCATTCATCTCATTTACTCCAGCCTCTCGATATTGGCTGCTTTGGCCCGCTTAAGCAGGCGTACGGTCGGCAAATCGAGAAGAAGATGCGGGCGGGTATAAGCCATATCACCAAGGAAGACTTCTTCCCTGCGTTTCTTACAGCATCCCAAGAGGTAATGACGGAGAAGAACATCCAAGGGGCCTTTAGGGGAGCTGGACTCGTTCCTCATAACCCGGAAGCAGTCCTTTCGAAGCTGGATGTGAAGTTACATACCCCAACGCCTCCAGGGAGCAGTGGAGGGATACCCGAACCTTGGGTCTCGAGGACGCCCAACAATCCGATTGAGACGACTTCGCAGTCTGAGTACATCAAAAATCGGATTGCCCGTCATCAAGATAGCTCACCAACGTCTATTCTCGGCGCCGTTGACCACTTAGCAAAGGGAACGCGGAGTATCATGCATAAACTCACCCTCGTACAGTCCGAGGTCCAGCTCATACGAGGGGAGCTAGAGACCCTAAGCAAGCGTCGCAGAGCGAAGAAAAAGCGTCTCAGGCAAGGGGGAAGCATGTCTATAGCCGAAGCAGAGGACATTCAAGCCCAGAATGAGGTAGACGTCCAGATGAAGCAGGAAACGCAGCTGAGTAGGGGTCGTAAGCAGGGTATAGAATTGGCCCCTCGACGCTGTGGAACATGCGGCAAGGCAGGACATAACTCAAGGACCTGTCAGATCATTGTAGCTATATCAGATGATGATAACACCGATTGATTTAGTTAATTCAAGTCGTCGTGGTTGAGATATCTGGGGTTTTATTTGTGCGGTCGTGGTTGAGTGTTTCACTCGCTTGTGTGTTCCACTCGCTTGTGGAGTACGTTAGCTAATTAGGGAACGGATATTAGCTAGACTTATCGTTAGGGCCTTTAAGGTGCACTCAATATTATTATTATATTAAAGGGTATTAATTATTTAAGACATAGTTCAAGTAAGTATAGAGCTTAAGGGAGCTATGAAATAGCCTTATACTAGTCTATTAGCTAATTATAGCTAGTTATAGCTAGTCTATAGCTTAGGGATTATTAAGAAACTTAATCATATAAGAGAAATGGATAGGTATATAGTTTCTATAGCTAATTTCAGTAATAAAGCTAACTTGTAGCTTCTCCCCTACCTAATATAGCTTTGCCCCTATTAGGCAGAGCAAATATCCGTCCTCAGATCGACGCGTCGAGCGTCACGAACCCCGCACAGCACATCATTCACATCTGTCAGCTAAGGTACCGCATTTCGGGGCCGTGGATGCAAATTGCCCCCGATAATCCGTAACTCCGCAGTAAACACTGGGCACTATAAAGCTTCCCTTACGGCTTGGAGCGCATGGTGTCATTTACGGCTTTATGCCAAGATGCTTCAGCTCATGATGCAAAGACGGCCGCTATTTTCGCCATTGGGCAGTTCGTATGCTAAATTATCGCCCGACTTCACCAAACCTCCGCAGCAACTCCGCAACCCCAACGCTTGGCATCAGAGACGCGATGCTGCGGAAGCATTGGTGACACTCATGACGTGATGTCTGCTGAAAGATTTTAATAACTTGAATGACCTACGCGGACCTAAGGATCACGCATGACGTTCATGATACACGCAGGTAACAGAGTCCAGGAAGTATTGAACCAAAGTCATTCCAGACAGATCCCCGGGACCAAGTCGAATTGAGACCAAAACACCTCCAGAGTACCGCAATCACGCACCCCTTCTCCGGGACTAGCAAGGCTAAAGCGACGAGCTATTTCCCAAGTATGATGCATAATTCATCAATAAAGCTTAGAAGATGCTCTTTCCAGTCCAAAGTAGCAGAGAATGTGGCAGCAGACCCAAGCAGCGAGGTAATGGCTGCTGAGGTGAACCCCGCTCCCACTGTGAGAGTTGTATTCGCAAAGCCTAGAGCTCAAAGTTTCCATAAGGTATACATTGAATAGATAATAGAGGAAGCTGCGTGAATGGCGTTTGACATTTCGAGGCCGCCGCGCTCAGAGAGGTTGCGAGCGCCCATGCTGTAGAGAGCATCTGTCGCAAAGCAGATGGCGGAACGGCGAACACAGCGACATATACGAACCTGGGCAGAACCACATCCCTCCTATGTTGCAATTCAAGACTGCTTCCGTCCAGCGGGAGCTCTGCCAGTTCAGATTTGTTGGCCAATTTGATCGCCTACTGAGACTCTTCGAACCCCAATAGCCCATGTGCCCACATAACAAGATCTGAAAAGCTTTGGCTGAGAAGGGCTCCAGAACCTGAAGCCGTTATCCAGAGGGCTATAAGGATTTGTCGTAGCTCGACGATATTCGCAAAATTTGTCGCCATGGCCGGCAAGGAATAGAGGGGTAATATGGCCTTGACAGACTTGAGGGGAACATGTCAACCGCCAATATCTTTGCTTGAGTTCAAGACCGGCGAGAAAGAAGAGAGTGGGGGGATAGAACCGACGCCGAGGGATGTATGAATCAGCGCGTAAGTGCATTGCCTAGATCTGGAAGTTAGATCTGGAAGCGGGTATCCGGATCTAAACCCAGAGACTGACCAGGACAGAACTGATGTCAGGTTGCCTCCACGGTGGGGTACCCCCAGCGAAGCCACAAGACAAGGATCTACTGCTTAGGCATCGATATCGAATCCTTGAAGTCCTTCAACCAATTCCCATTATCCGCAGGTGTTTGGTTCCACGGATCGTCACTTAATGGTAATCGGTTAGCTGTCGTGATACAACGCACTGAAAACCGGAAGGTTTCATACCAATCATAAAGAATCCATCGCGCTTGATTCTGAATCTCGAGATCTGTCGGCACATGCCTGTTAGGGTTGCGCGGAGATATGGCGCTCGAGATGAAGCGAGTGAGCTCCCTTATCAGGCGTCTGTAGTAGCTGTCGTCGACGAAGCCCGACGATCTCATCACTGGTGCCGTATCACTACTTGAACTTGGCGCAGTCCCCGCAAGCGTTTGTGAGATGCCGGTGTCAACGTCCGGGCGATCGACCCACCCTTTTTTCCAAGTTTTAGAGGGTACATCGGAAGATTGTGGGTTTGCCTGTAAGGCTTTGTGCTCTTGATAAGCCGGTGGTAGACCTGCTCGCTCGCGAAAAGTACCAAGCCAGCCCGTTGAGCTGTAAGTCAAGTTCACCAGCAGGTTCGCTAACATGTCGGAAGAACTTGAAGAGCACGTGGTCAATGACCATATGATGTTGCAAGCCTGTTGCTGGAGCAATTCGTTCGTGACATCTGCACCTTGGGTCGTCATACTCTTCACATACTCTTGCAAGGCCCCCTCCATATGACAGCTCCCGAATATGTTCTCTTGCCCGTGCGTGCGCAGGTCCGTGAAGCGTGAACCGCTCCTAATAGGACGCGATTTGGCTTGCCTAGTGATATGCTCGGAAGACATGAGGAGATCGCGAACCCACGATGAAGCGGGTGAAATGGTATCGCGAGACAGAATCTCAGAGGCAAGAATAATGCAGCACAATTCGTACTGAATCTCTTGATTCGAAGGTAGCGTGTGATGGAGATTCATGTGACTCGAGCAGAAGTACTCAGTCTCCAGTTGTAACAGCTCAAACGCCGTCGAGGGGCCGTCGGAGATTGTCTGTAAAGCAACGAATGGGCACGGCGAATTTCGTTCATAATCTATAATGTCTGCACAGGAATCAGAGGAAATCCCAGATCTGTGGGGGACAGGCATCCGTATACTCACATGGTGCGATGGAGCTCTCCACCATCTCCAGCACGCGAGGTTCGAAACCCCAGTCTCCCTCCCAGTCAGCCATTGTCGTGCCATTCTTGAAGTGTTCTGCCAGATGATCCACTCGGTCTGTCCAAGTGCTCAAGGCGAGATTGCAGAATCCACACCGTGATCGGACCTCCATCACCTCAGTCTTCCAGGATTCCATCAGCAGTGGCTCTAATTGAACCTGGTGAATTAATCTTAGATGCTGGCGTAGGTGGTCCTTTCGGTAGAATGTACGTTCCTCCGGGGTTCGGATCTGACAAGCTTCGTAATTGTGACTTTGCAAATGAGCGTCCATGTTGACGCTCTCGACCACGCCACAATAAACACAAGCCGGTTCAAAATGAGCGTTCCGAAAAATAGGTCCATCTGGGGAACATTCCCAGCGCTCTAGCGAAAGGTGAAGTGACTTTTCATGACGCTTCCAATTGTGCTTCGTTTTGAAGGTCTGCGTGCAGAAGGTACACTGGAACGGGTTCGAGCTTTGTGAAAGAACGTCGTAAAGGCTAGTCTTCGTCGCCTGTTGATTCTTGCTCTGGCTCTGTGTTGGATTCTTCCGCGTTTTTCGCCTTCTGCGTTTTTCGGTCCTTCGTCGTGATTCCAGCGATCGAAGGGATACTCCCGACGTATATGAGTATGCAGAAGAGAGGGATGCGGAGTCCGATGTCGCCACGCTGCTAGCTGACGACCCATTACATACAATCCTTGGAGAGACGCCTTGCGTGAGAAGGGAGTCCTCTTGGTCATGGACCCCTAGAGAGCTTGCAACGGCCATCGCGATAGCGCTGATCTCAGCCGGTTCCTGGTCTGGGGGCGAGTTGGTCCATCTTTGAAAAGGATTCATCTGATCGCCAATCACGGCACCATGAGTCGAACGACCTGGTGATGGGGCGAATGGCATTGGGCTTGAAGATCTGTCCCGAGCTGCAGGTTTACGTATGTTGATGTTCTTTGATCGTCGCCTGGCGTTGGCAAACCATGTCATGATCTGCTGTTTGCTGAGGTTGGTCTGCCTCTGGAACGCTTCGACCTCTTCGACTCGCGGGTAGGGATTGTCCGAATGGGTTGACAGCCAAGTCTTGAGTATTTTTATCGAAGCTGGTGAGAATCGCACGGCTGGCTGGACGATTGACGTCGCCTGGTGCTGTCTCTTGCCAAGATGCGGTGATGTGTCGTTGATGCCTCTTGTGTGGTGGGCTTTGTCGCGCGCGGCGTCTTGAGAGTAATCCATATGGGCATTGTCGAGACTTACTTGGCAATTGGTAGCATGGTCACTCAAAGGCTTTGTATTGGCGAGGAAATCGTCAGCCAAACCCGGGTTCCAATCTGTCCCAAACGCGAGGTCGAGGAAGTTGTCGTCCAGGCCCTCGACCTGCCACGAATCGAGACTAGTCGGGAGTTCTTCCATCGCATTGGAGAAAGAATACGTTAATGTCCGCATCACTCAAAGCTTGGCGTAAGTTCTGGTGCTTCACCAGAGCATCAGCTGCTGGTCATCGAGCGACAAGAGTGATCCATGGTCGGTAGGCATCATATCTGGGCCAGGCCAAAGGGCGCGGCGCCCCACTTTAATCATGTCAACCTCCTCTTCTGGGTGTGCCGAACGGGCCTGGCCGAAAGTGGGCGCTAGTGATTCCGGAGATAGTTCGCCTAGGTAGGTATCGTAGTTAAGTTTAGTCCGTCGTAGGCAGAACGATGAATGATTCTTATTGTTTACTTCATTACTCACGGCCGGTTGCTCCAGATGCGCCAGCCTCCATCTACATCTCAACATAGCGCACGCTGCTTGCTCCAAAGTCTCTTATACATGGTATCGGTTTTCAGAAGCTGCTCGTGTGTCCCTTTCTCAACCAGCAGTCCTTTGTCTATCACTAGGATTTGGTCAGCCCCGACAATTGTCGACAGTCGGTGGGCAATAACAAAGGTAGTCCGTTTGCGATCAGACTTGAAAGCTTCCAAGGCGCTTTGAATCATCGATTCTGTGTTTGTATCCACTGCGCTGGTAGCCTCGTCAAGGACAAGGATCTGGGGATTTCGGAAGATAATGCGGGCAATAGCCAGACGCTGTGTCTCGCCACGCCGCTGAAGTTTCTCTCACAAAACTGCCGTTGGATGATGGCTGATTTGATTGATGCTGAACGCCTGCTATACCTCATGCAGGCCAAGCCGACAATCGTTGATTCTGAGGGCACGTACCCAATTAGGCATGTCGAAGGAAGTGTTGCCTTTGAGAACGTACGCTTCTCCTACGACTCCGTCAGAGACATCGTTAAAGGTATCAGCTTTTCTGCACTACCAGGCCAGACCGTCGCCATCGTGGGCGCGACAGGTGCCGGCAAATCATCAGTCGCCAAGCTACTGTTTCGTTTCTACGATGTCACAGGGGGCCGGATCACTATCGATGGTCATGACATACGAGACATCTCTCTCGATTCGTTGAGGAATACCTTTGGGGTGGTGCCACAAAGTCCCATGCTCTTCAATGGTACGATCATGGACAACTTGCGATACGCAAGGCTCTCTGCAACAGACGAGGATATCTACTCCACGTGTCGAGAGGCTGCAATTCATGAGAGCATTACTGGCTTTCCAGACGGATATAGCACCAAGGTGGGCGAGCAGGGAATGAAGCTCTCTGGCGTCCAATGCTTGTCCGAAGCGCCTGCGCTCGTAGTCGAACATGTTGAAATTGCGACACCGTCGTCCAATTCTGCACGGCCTGATGCATGACCTTGGCCTGCTCGCGATCGGTCTTGGCGGATTGACGACGTGGCTCAATGTTCCACCTCGATGATGTAATTTCGAGGCCAAGGAACGAGGCAAAGGCGAACACCATGGGTACCGCAGCGTAGATGCCAAATTTCCAGTACAGAATCCCGATAGTCATTATGAGATCTACCACCGTGGGCAGAATCTCGTTGACAGCAGTTTCCATGAGTTCATCAAGGCTCCTCCCTGCTCCAGGGCCTTCACATGACCTCGGCCGAGTCCTTTTCAGATTGAAAATCCTTCGAAAGGTTCATGACATGAGAGAAAGCAGCATCTGTGACACGACGTTCCGGAAACTGCTTGATTGGGACCTGAACAAGTTCTTGAATCAAACCGAGGCCTGATTTTTTATTCAAGATGCTGAGTATGAGCCAGATCAAGAATTCGCAGCAAGGCGGCTCGCGACCCAGAAGCTTGTTTCGGTCGATGCAAATGTGGCAAATATGGAGGTGGATCAAGCAGTGCAATCTCGATATTCGTGCGATCGCAAACAAGCGCCTTCGTGACTTATATCGACCCCGGTCTTCGTGGCAGGGGCTTGGAGGAGGTTGCCTAGTGCGAAGAAGAAAAAAGGAAATGCATGGAGGTGACGCGGCTTGGCCCGGCCTGAGTTACCTGCGGGCCGGCCCCGACAATAGGCGGAAGCTGGCAGGATCTTTTAAGTGGCATGGTAAGGTGGAATAGACCGTGGTCAGCTTAACCTTCTAGAAGTCGGACTAGAATACGACAGTCCATATCATCCTCGACTTCCCGATATTTGCAGCATGAGATTCCTTGTTCCCCGTCTTTTGATCCCGAGCTATCGGCCGAAGATCGAAACACATGTCGACCAAAAATTATCCCCAGTCGCTTCCAGATACAAAGTCTCGCCTAAGCCAGCAATATTCCTTTGACAGCGCAGGGTATTGTGCGAGGTATACAGTTTTCTCAGCCGACGCCTGCGAGGTGTCATGTGCATCAAGCCCCGAATCGCGTATTCGTTTCATATTTCAGTTGGGTGACTCGACTGAACGGGTCAGCTTTTTCTCCAGGCAATGGCCTCGGTTGATCCTTTGATGCTGTGATAGGTTGAGTGGCGAATGTGCTCAGCGTGCAGGCTGCTGAAACATACGAGGATATGACTCGGTGGATGCCCCCAACTGAGCGGGAACGGATCGGTGTTCGAGAACTTCAAGCGCCCATGCACATAGTAGCCTTCCCTGCGAACATTTGGTCATTGCCGAATACTCCTCAGCATTCGGCAGAGCCGATTTCGTCTTGTCCGTCTGGTGCCAATCGCTCATGCACTAACTACCCAAGTACATCTGGCCCCTGGACCCGAATGTAACCCACACCTTTGGGGATCCAGGGTGAGATCAACCGCTCCGAGTGCTCCTGAGCTGGTTCTGGGCTACAATCGCACTAGTTTGCTACCTGGCTACATGGTAAAAGGAGCAACATATATAGGAATGCGGAGGCATCTTTTCTTAGGTATTGTTTGCCTACATTGGGTGCCACGAGGTTAAGCGCTTGAGCGATGCACTATCGGGTACTTCGACCTGTAGTATCGATAATTGTGCCCAGATATCGAGATCTTCTCAGATATCGCTAACGCACCTCGACTGCGCCGTCGATCAAAATGATCGCAATCTTTTGCCCATTGTAGGCCCCTTACCTGCCATAGTACATGACTTTCGTGCAGCAGACATTCGACGCACGGTCGTTGCAGATGTTCCCGCAAGAACAGCCTCGATTGAGGTAGCTCATATAGGTGATCTAAGGATTAGCATTGACGTGTCTACTGAAACGGCAACTGCTTCTGACTCGTAGAATACTGCGCCTCAACTTGTCCCTAGAACAAGCAAGGTATTTTACCAGGGTGAGTTTTTACCTGCTGAAGGAAATGACTTCGCATGATGCTCACTTGATTGCTTTCAATATTTTGACATTAGGTAGCGCACCTGGGGCCTATGGCTCATGGTTGATGTTTCGGACATCCCGTTTTTAGAGGCTCACGATCGTAAAGAACCAAGCTGCGAGTCCTGCGCCAATCGCTGAGCTTTCCTGGCCGACTAGACTCTGAATGCATTAAGGTTGCCTCAGTTTCAAAGCCCTGGCTCCTTCTTTCCACAAGGTAACTGAATCAAACTCAATATCATAGGATTGACCGTGCACAGCCTGATGATGGCCTCACTGCGGTACAGACGTCTTTGGCTCGGCATACGAGGGCCGCCTGACGCCGGAGCATGAGTAAAGAGGATGTTACAGAGCAGCAGCAACTGTATTGTACTGTGTCAGCGTCGGTGGCCAACAGAAATTAGTATAAAGCTTCATGACTTGACTCATTTTTCTTGGCCATTTTGATCTCAGCAGCAACTTACTCACAGCATCTTCTATTCAAACATTCTTCATTTAATTACCTCTTTCTGACCTCTTGCATCGACGTCAACACCCATCACGACCTAGACCAAAATCACCATGCAGCTTTTCGCTACCACCAGTCTCATTTTTGCCTTGTTGAACAGCATGGCGAGCGGCGCTGCTCTACCTGAGCCCGCTCCCCTGCCTGCTGTCGGCGATGTCAACTCTATCATTCCTCCTTCGAAACAGGAGACTTTGACAGGTCTCAAGGTGATTAACTGTATGATATGATTTTGAGAGCCGAGACTGACCGGCATCGCAGGGCACTGATGGAAAGCTCACCATCGGACCTGAGCCTGTACCAGCCACGACCAGACTGGCCAAGCGTGCTGGACCCATTGTTGTGGTAGTTGGAATCGCCGGCACGGCGGCTGCGGGTATCATCGTCAAAATGGCAATCGAAATTGGAGCTGAAACCATCAAGAACTTGGGCGAGTGGAATGAGGTAAATTTCCCAACTCCTCCCTTTTGGTCCATGGATGTCAGGAAACGTCAAGGCTGATACAAACACCACCAAGCAGGCTAGAGAAGCATTCACCAAGAAAACCACCCAGGAGATGTGGGACCGCAATCCCGATTATGCAAAGTTTCCCGCGGCTGCTTGCTATAACAAGGGTTATACCCTGGCGGACCCCGCCAAGATCGATGGTCTGCGCTCTGCCAAGTTCGAGCTCGGCCTACTCAACACCGAGTTCGTCCCCCAAAGTGTTCTAAAGTTCTGCGACCCTGCTAACACACGTATTGCTAGCTACGACTGCATGTACATCCAAGGAGGCAACCAGTTCAAGACCAACTCCGAGGGCGGTTACATCAACGTAAGGATCCCCAAGAAGTTGCGGGCGCTGAAAAGTATTCACTGACACACATGTAGCTTTCTTACACTTACGACCCTACTCGTTGCACCTTTGAGGGCAGTGGCGATCTGACCTGCAAATAAGCAAGTCGAAGCCATTCAACGATCGATTTTCCTATCGAATTTTCTTTTGTGTACACCTGATGATCGACGGCAGAGCGTTTGGCGCCACTCATTTTGCTTTGCTTTTCATGTATCCTTTCGTTTCGATACGCTTAGATTGATAAAATGGAGATGCCCAGAAAGTTGGTGAAGTATCCCTCGGGCTTCAGAATCAGAGATTCGGACGGCGAACGAAGAAAGGTTTCAACTTGGACTGCTTGAGATCGAGTTATCTATGCAACATGGTATTGTTTCAACCAACCGAAGCTTCCACCAGGACTTCCCCATCGGATCCCCCAACACCTTTCCCAACCTTCACAAGAGAGATTCCGCGTTGCGAACCGTCAGGAGGCACCTGCGGACTAACCGAACAGGGCGGCCCGGGGGCTAGCCCACAGTGTTCGACGTTACGGAGGCGTAGATATAAAGGCTACGGACAGCCCTTCCAGCTGCGGAGAGCCAAAGTTTGGATTTTATGTCTACCATGTTCCTGACGATTGACTCTCAAGATCACTTCAGGACGGCCTATCCACCTTTCTCACCAACTCGGTTTGACACAAATACATCCCGACTCCGAAATCCCACTTCTTGCGTCACATCGTTATATTACCTCCTCTGCCAGACGTATCAAAGCATAACCCATAAACGCCAAAGAAGAGAGGATGTACGAAATTCAAGATCATCTTGCCGCCAACTTCTTGCAAAATCTTTTAATTGTCAATGTCCGCCCGCCAGGAGTGGCGATCATGTTTTGTCGGTACCTGCTAGACTAGATCGGCTCAACCATTATAATCGTCTGGAAACTCCTCCAGACGCTCGAGCACGTTGGTGGCCCAGTCTACCAACCTGGTGGAGCCGCCATGCATCATTGGCATTGCTGGCTTGCTAGGCACCTCGACACATCATCAATGCATGTCAGGGTTGTAAGCGCGGTGCTCGAGAAGGACCGCGAATTTTACAAACTTCATATGAGCGTGTGACATAAAATAGAAATACCGAGTGGTAAGACATGTTGACACAGGCCTGGCTTACAGCTACGTCACTACATGACGTTCGGCTGAGACTGTGTCAGGGCCTCCAAGAATTGAGGGTCGTCTAACCAATACATTCTTTCGGAACTGAAAACGTGCACGTTACACGGCCTTAACGAGAGAAATTGATCTACCAGACGCGGTATTAAGTCAGCCATTGGCCGGAAAATTGAGCCGAGACACCGTAGTACATTGTATACACATTCCACGCGGCCCAACATCATCGAGACACCGTCAGCGGCAAGGATAGGGAACAAACCTGATAGGCTACATTATGAGTTGCAAAATCTTAGTTACAGGTACTTATTAGCAGTTGGATTGCAGTCAGAAAAAAGCGAGAGGCTATAAGTAGAGCCGGATACTCTGCAATCATAGCGGGATTCCCAGCTACAGTTCCAGATACTGCATCACCATTAAAGTCTTGTAATCCCATTACCACCTCAATCGATAGTCATTATATCTCCGCGATCTCAAACTTTCAACAAACGATCAAAAATCGAAAGATATGCAGATCTCAATCATTATCCTCACCACCCTCGCAGGCATTTGCCTAGGCACCCCTGGCCTCAAGGCTAGAGATATCAGGGAGCTGCAAGGCCGCCAGACCTGCGCGATTCCCAACCTTGGCTGCTACAATAACGGAGACTGCTGCGGCGGCCTCTCGTGCGACTTTAGCGAGAGCTGCTGCCTTCCCGACTTCGACGACAGCGAGTTTGGCAAGAGACAGAACTGCGGCTGCTGCCGCAAGTGAATATCGGCGACGTTTTGGGTGACGCTCAACGAGGAAAAGAATTTCAGTCAGTTGTTTCATGGAGTCCTGGAGATGTAAAGTTGTCCCGAGGGTTATCATGCTCTGGTGTTGTCAGAAACCTTACGAAGAGGATGTAAAGTGGGCGAGTAGAGCGCACTAGCTGCAGAATACATCCAATTCGGACCATTCAGAACGTCAAAAACAACAAGTATAACCGACATGTGACGAAGTCGGAACTTTGATCATGATTTTCTAAAATAATTTCACGAACCCGATTCTTGCTTGACTTCTCATGAAGACAAAGAACAGCCAATATTCCGTCACGAAGATATGGGACTGGATTCCGCTGACTTCCTCTCCTGCTTCAGGTTTCACGTTACCCTCTGAAATTCCGAGTTCCTGTCCGTTCTATTTCCTGGTCAAACCCATATCTGTTGATAATCATTATTGATTTTAGAAGCCCCATGGTCTGAATTGGATAAGCAAAAAAAAAAAATCCTTTGTCTTGAATAGCTATTGCCGGTGAGAGACAACCCAGATAGTAGCGTCACGGTCTATGCTTAATCCCAGTTGTCCCACGCCTCCTGAGTACACGGGAAGTTACAAGCCTTCCAGTAGCCACCCTCGACTCCCAGAAAGCCGCCCAACTCATTCTGCCTTTCTCCGCAGTCCCATCCAGGCACATCACTGCCGTCAAGTCTGAGCCAGTCTGGTTCCGACACCCCACTCGAACCAATGTAGCTAGTACTAGCATGGAGGTCACCGCTCTTGGGCACCTTGGGGTCGTCGAACACAACGTGGAACCCAGGACTTGTTGGCTCCCATTCCTTAATTGCGAGTGTTTTGCAGTTCGAATCCGTTACCACAGCGACTCGATCGGCTTCACCATTGCCAAGATTGGTGCCACTCCATTCGATGGTGGTTCCGCCGGCTATGATGAAAACACAGTTGCCTTTAGGCGGCTGGTTCTTCTCACACGCTTGCTTGAAGTTGACGGGGTGGTCATCGCGCTGCAAGACGCTAGCCAAAGGCTTTGCACTTGCGACAGCGGCAGAGGTGAGCAAAAAGGATGTAAGTTGCTGGAAATGCATGATGGTATGAGAATTGCTGAGATGGCTTTGGTGGAAAGTAAATTTGTAATGGTGTTATTGGTGGTAACGGTAATGGTGATTGTTTTACTGATGGTGTTGCTTATTGTGCGGTTGCTTTATCTAAGTCCTAGATCGGTCTTATAGTAGGGAGTGAGCATAGTGTTATATAGCGAGTCTGGGGTGCGATAAAATCTATACTGAGGCCTTTGACGTCTGCCCAGGCTTGAAGCTAAATTTAAATACGGCCCTGCCCTTCGATCGTCGGTCATGATCCTTCGCGCTGGACGAGGCCCCCATTATCGCCCTAAAACAACGTTGGTAGTAGAATGCGATGGCAGATCATAAACCATCCATGATACTAAGCTACGTCGGCGGAATTTGGTTGTGGAAGACGTGCAACTCTATGATCACCAGTCTTAAGAATTATGATATAGTATGACGTATGGTGAGGCATAGTTGGAGGTCTCCCCTAACATAGTAGCATCACAGCCCCCAGACCCCAAGCCCGTCGTCGATCATGGACTGGTTCGCGGAGATGTTTACTGTTCGAGGGGAGGCATCCCGATATGGTAATCCTTTATGACGTAAAATGTCCCTTCGGATCGAAAATTGCGGCTGAAATGATATTAATCTAAAAACTGTAGAAAGAACTACTTGGCCACTGAATACGCGTACTTCCATTCCATTCACTGTCATAATGGTACTAACGTTGTATTCAGACCCGATACGGCAACATTTTACGAAGAGGGCCGGCTGATACTGAAATGTCATCGCTGCTATCTTGGAACGACCACAGACAGCCGATCGTCAATCACTTGGAGCAAGCGGATGTTTACATGTCTGGACGCGATTTGACCATGAACTTCAACGACACCTAAACGTTTTCGCCCTTTAAAGGACCATCGCTACCTCATCAAGTTCCATGTCGACCACAGCCTTGAAAACCCAAACGCCAAGTCCATGCCACCCTTCAACCGCCAAAATTTCGAGAAATGGGATGAGTCGATCGCCTTGCATACTTTGGAGGTTTTTGGACTCTTTGTGCATCTACGTATTGAATTGAAAGGCAAAATTTCATCAAGGACATGTTTGTAATTGCGGCAGCTCGTCGCATTTTGATTCCGATTGCTGAGATTTAACCCCATCTTCCATGAAGAAGGACTTGATTTGCTCCCGAAGGCGGCTGATTTAGAGGCACAGATCAAAGTCACCTACCTGAGTCGGATTGTATAGTAGGCAGGGTCATGTATACGTTGATTTGGTAAGGGACTGTAATCAAGTCGCATTTCTATAGCTCAAGCAGGCAGTCTTTGGGTGATCGAAAATATTCAGGTCTACAGACTGCTTGCGACATGATTCAGTAGTTGACCAACTTGATATAATGTGTTTCTCTTGGAATTCTTTTGCATTGGAATTGTGTTGAAATTATAAAGGGGCAGCATGAGGTAGAAAGCGTATCCGCCGTGCCTACCTAGAGTTTTGGAATGACAAAAGAGTGATGAAAGTAGGTAGGTAGGTTGGACCCAACAAGATACACAGCGGACGTGAAATAAGGACGCAGAATAGGGGGCAGGGAACCCCAGACGGTGAAATGGTAAGTCGATGAGGCATCGACGGCGTTCATTGTGAATGAATTCTATCATGATCCGGTATGATCTGATTGTATTTCGCGAAGTCCCTCCGGTGGAATGAAGTTTGGAAGAATACCAGCAGTGATCAAGGGCATGGACGCAGGGTAAAGAGTAAATTCAACCGCTGCCGATATCCACTGTAATTCGTATCCGCCCCCAATCGAACTTCACCCCAAATACTGGTCGTGTACACAATTTCCAAGAGATCAAGAAGAACGACCTCCCTGGCCGACATTGTCCCCCTTCGCGAGCCCTTGGCTTTGACCGCCACTGGCGTTCAGGCCCTGGATACCGGCACCCTTCTCATGCTCAGGCATGGGCGCAGTCTTGTCTGCACGAGCGACATGTGAGTCCTACGGTCGTCATTAGTGTGGGCCATGTGTTGAACTGATGCAGGAAGGCAGGCTTTACCTTGACTTCACCAGCGCCGTGAATGATGTCTTGGCCGTTCTCAACGGCATTGTCTGCAATATGACCTTCTCCCTGGCGAGGCATTTTGGATAGTATGTTCTTTAAAGAAGAAAGCTGTGGTATATGTCGGGTTCGATATGTGATAGATACTTGAGGTTTGGTCAAGTTGATGATTGACTACGAAAGATCCGCTGAGAAGGAAGCTGACCGCTGGATTATAAAAGTACTCCAGATACCGACCGCAGTCAATGACATTGACGTCATGAGCAATTCGTTCTCCAATTCTTTAGAGGCCAAGAAACTTTGCGGCATCGTGAGGTTGTGCGGCTACCGTGGAGAGCGTAACGTCATGGGCGGGTCAGCAGTGAACAGCATCGCAACGGCAGCTGAGAAGAGTGCCCCATGTGCTGTGGTCATCCCCACAACCGCCGCCGGAGTGAAAGCCCCGTGCAGTGCTTTGAGGGGGCTTGGGGGGCTTGGGGGGCTGGCTGGCTTGGCGTGTCTACGACCTACACGCTACATCATCTGAAATATAGAGGCTGAGAGGTTCCAGCATCCGGTGACCCTCGGCGATCTCGATTGATCATGACTCGCCGCCCGGTTTCTCAACTCGACTTTCGGAATTTATATTAGACACGAAATCGGGGCACTCAAGAACGTTCTTACTAAACAATTGAGGACTCCCCTATTCCCTTAGGCGAAGTACTGGCCCGCAAAACCAGGCAAGATCTGCTGGCCTTCTGACGTCTCATAGCTCGTCCCCTTCTTTTGCTGCCACTTTTGCTTCAGCGTCGTAAATTCCCCCATCGTCGGCACTGGGTGGCCGCCTGCTTCAAACTCATTCTGTGTGAATCCCTCACGCTTGAGTACCGGCGAGTCAATCGTCTTGAGGACGAGATCGTTTTGCGGCCGCGCAAAATACAGCAGTCCCAAGCGGTCGACGTGACGCTGGTCCTTTGGCGGCACAGAGACCTGGGAATTCGAAAGTCAGCATGCGACGTCAAGATGGACTGGCTGAGGCACTCACCCGGTGAACTGTCGACCTGATGTACCCGCCCGTCAGGAAGCTCAGCGCATCACACGTGTTGACGGTCAGACTGCCGTCGAGCGGCTTCGCCCACTTCCACAGGCCAGACTCGTGGTCCCGGATCTGCAGCGCCGCCACCGGCTGCCGGAACAGCAACGTGATGGTGCCCAGGTCCGTGTGGCCCCTCGACCAGAGTCCGTCGCCCAGCTGGTCAATCTCTGCCTGCGAGAACTTCGCGTACTTCATGTACCGCAAATGGGATTCGTCGTGCGTTTCCCACTTGTGCACCTTTGTGAAGAAGTCCTCCGGCAGCTCGAGCGCCAGGGCAATGAGGTGGTTCAGCGGGTCGAGGACCTTGTCGTGCAGGTCCTTGGCGAAGGCGTCGATCTCGTCGAGGCGCTCTTCGAGGAGCTTGGGCACAGGCTGCGTAATGTGGCCGGATCTCGCTTTCGATGGGTCAGTTTCCCGACCTGCCGTGTCGGGGTCGCTGCGCAAGACTTACTCGCCATGTTCCAGACTTCCGTCTTGTCGTAGATGCCGCCGCTCAGGAGCCGCCTACCCGCAGGCCGGTACCCGTTGTAATCACCCGAGTCCAGGTCCGGTTCGTACTTGAGCTTCTCTTCGAGAGGAAGTTCGTAGAAACGCTGGCCGAGGGCAAATTGCCTGTCGACTGCTTCCTGCGGAATGCCAAAGTTGGTGACGTAGAAGAAGCCCTTTGTACGGATGGCTTCGAGCAGCGTCTTGACGAGCTCCGCATTGCCTTCGAGTGTGCCATACTTCGCGAGGTCAATCGTCGCAACTGCTCGATATCCCGTGTTAGTGACCTTTGAATTTCCTGATTGCATGAAGTGAGAACCCACGGTCGGCCCAGTCCAGGTCCTCCTGCGTCTCCGGGACGTGGGTGTATTCGTACAGCTGAGGGACGGCGGACGGCATCTTGAAGAATCAACAGGTTTAATCACGATGCCAGAGTTACATCAACGAATGATGAAAAAATGAAAGTGCCATGTCTTAACCCCAGATTCTAAGCGTCTCATCTTTATCGAGACGATTCCTGATTATCAATCGCAACACGCCTCTCCGAATCGGCCATCGGCAACTACCCGACCTCATTCGAGCACCGCCTCGAACACGGCGAACCACCCACACCACCTGGCATCCACCGATGCAGCAGCAGGAGAATGTCGTGATCTCGTATCTCCAGCGTTTCTCCGTGATATCCCTCCCGTCCGTCCATGTGTTTGGACGATTCACCAATCGACCCCCGCATTCGTCATCTGGTATCGGATTGTGCAACCCATCGGCCCCGCCCCTCCGTTCGGCGACCGCCACACCCAGACCCCGGGCTGTGCCGCCCCGGCACCAGCGCTGCCGTCGCACCGCATGTCAGCGTTGCAAAGGACGCCACCCCGTCGCAGCGCCGGTTCGGAGCCAGTGGTGATGGGCAAGCCTGCACCTACGTTACACTGCGCCTGCAGATCCTGGCCTTTTCGTCCTCGGGCAGAATCAGGGTCTTGCGTTCGGGCGATCCTTTGGGGGGTCTGGGCCGCGATGTATTTCACCATCGGTTCTGCGATTGCGAGTGTCCTGCCGGAAGTCGGTCTTGCTGCCGGTTGGAGTCTGCAGCGCGGAATCTTTCTCCCAGCAGCCCTGAGCCTGACAAGGCGGGATCATATAAAAGTCGAACAGCCCCGAGACGCTGCTGGCTGTCATGCCAAATGATGACGCAGCAGCATCTTGCTTTCTGTCAAGCGTCATTGTAAATTCAAGCATGGGTGCCATCAAATCTGCCATCAAGGGCAACAAAGTGGGTGGTGTGGTCTGGTCCGTCTTCGACTGGTACCGTATGTTCGCTGCTGTCAATGGCCTCTGCTTGCTGTTCCAGGCGCTGATTACGATAGCGTCGCACTACCCCGTCGAAGAGAGGAAGCTGCTTCGAAAGCTTGACCTCTCCATACTTGTCTTTGGATGTCTTAGTTGTGAGTCATTATCATCACATGAAGTCTTCGGCTTGATGTATTGACATGTGGGCTAGTCTTCTGCCGGGTTGGTTTGATGCTCACAACCATACGAAAAGGTCTCACTGCTTACAGGACACCAGTTCCTCGGACAACAAAATATCACCAATGCCTATGTTTCGGGCATGCGCGAAGATCTAGGCGCTTTTGGCAATGAGTTGAACTACTATGTCGTTGCTTGTAAGCTTCCCCTCGATGTGTGTAATGACGCTCAAAGAGACTGACCAGAGCCAAGATAACACGGCCTACGTCCTGGGTCAGATCCCACTGATGACTCTCCAGACCAAGGCAAAGATGTGGGCTGGGATTTGAGAACCCCGAGAGATCGCTGAATGCTTACGCTAGACAGTGCTCCATTTCTCCTTCCATCGCTGCAGATTGTCTGGGCCGTCATCGCCTTTTGCCAGTCTGAGATCAAACATAGCTGGCATCTCTACATCCTGCGCGCCATCACCGGCTTCCTCGAAGCCTCCTCCTTTGGTGGCACCCATCTGATTCGTGAGCACTTTTGCTTCTTCCGGTCCATAGCTTGACTAACACGACTCAGTCGGCAGCTGGTTCAAAAACGAAGAACTCTTCAAGCGCGCTGGCGTCTGGTTCATGGGCAACTCCCTCGGATCCATGTTCTCGGGTTACCTCCAGGCCGCGGCCTACCGAAATCTCGACGGAGTATACGGCAGAGCGGGCTGGCGTTGGCTGTTCGTCGTGCAGGGTATCATCACGTTGCCGTTGGCATTCCTAGGATTCGCATTCTGGCCCGGACTGCCGAGCTCGCCACGGCGGTGGTTCTTCACGGCGGAGGACCACGCGTTGGCCGTCAAGCGGATCCCGACCGTCGAGAACGAGGGAATCACCTGGAAGACATTCAAGTACACGCTGTCACGGCCAATGTGGTGGATATGCGTGCCATGCTACATGTGAGTTTCCTGGTGCACATCGCACAAGATTCGGGCTCATACGTGATCGACAGCATGCTTTGCCAGGCACATTACTGGACCGGCTACATGGCGCTGTGGTTGCGTCACGCCGGCTACTCGATCGAGCTGGTGAATATTTTGCCGACCTTTATCGATCTGCTGCGGGCTCTGTCGTCATGGCTAGGGACCACACTGGCGGGCTGCCTCAGCCTCAGGGGGCTCTGGTCATTCCAGGCTGTGAGTGGCGACCGACGAAGTGCGACGTAGGCCCTTGAGATTTCTGACGTGTTTGCCAGTCATTTGTGTTCTTCGCACTCATCGTGCTATCCGTCTGGAACGTGCCCGATGCGCTCAAGTTCTGCGCCTTCTACTTTGGCGGATTCTCTGGCATGGCGTCTCCCATCTTGGTGAGCATTTTCCCCTGATACAAAATTGGGCAAGCGATCAAGCTGACTGGGGCAGTATTCGTGGGTCAATTTTATCCTCAAGGAAAACTATGGCGAGCGCGGATTGATCATCTCGTCCATGATGACGCTGGGCTTCTGTAACCAGATTTGGATCCCACTGTTCACGTTCCCAACGGTCGAGGCGCCGCGGTTTCCCAACGGGTACCCTGCCGCAACGGTCTTCGAGTTTACCATGTGGGCGATCCTGATGTTCGGCACGTGGTACATGAAGCGATGGAAGCAGAGGAACCCCGACCTCGAGATGCGACTGGCGCGTGAGGCGGCGACACGTGCAGAAGGCGGCGACGGCAGCCCGTCGGTGCTGGGTTCGGAATCGGAGGGGTTAGAAGATGGAAAAGGCAAAGCGGGAAGCTATCGGGTGAGGAGGTTAGAGAAAGGGGTGTGTAGATGACTCATGGGCGAGGCTGCCCACCAGGACCATCATAGAAGCTCGATATTGAACCGCGTCGGGCCTCTCACGCTGTCACGTGACTTGAGAAGAGTATGATGCTGAAGGCGGGGTAGCTCTTTGCCTGGCAAACCTGGATGCTGTCTAGAGTGTCTCTTGCCTTGACGAATGCAGCACAGCAACAGGACCCGGAATCCAGGGAAGGTGGGGCCTTAGCGGGACCGTGGTGGGGTCGTGGAGGGGCTGCGCTTGGGGCACCTCGTCATTCGGCCTGTCATTACTGCTGCTACCAGAGCCCATGTCGCTGCCATCAGTGGAAGCATTCACCCAGTGCAACGGCCCCCCAGTGGTACTGCTGCTGTCAATCGAGCAGTACCCAGCGGCAGCACCACTGACAGTCACGACAGCGATCACGAGGACCAGCCATTACGACATCACACATATCGACACCGCTGGTGTACCATTTACATGCACACGCGGTACTGCTGCCTCTGCGTGCCACTGGACGGTCCAAACTCTGCAGCATGGACCCTCGAGGACGTCCCCTTCCCTGGCCTTTGGGACGATGTGACATCAGTCGGACTGTCAGCGTGTCGTTGTATAGTGCCCTCCGATGACCTTTGAATCATGCATTTATTTCTCGTGCCTCTCCCTCTCCTTCTTCTTCTCATTTTCTGTGCCCTACGCGCGTCAGATTGTTTCGAAATGATTACTGGGTCGCAAAGTCTCCATGTGCACATGACTGTACAGATGTAGCAACCAAGCTGGATTATCACTATCACGTTCCTCCACTAAAACCTCCTCCAGCACCACTGGTGAGGGGTGGAGGGAAGGACTTTGAATCTCCCATCCTCGCCTTGCCTAAACAAGGAAATGGCTCTCTTCTGCATTGGGCTGCAAGGCAGATCTCATGTCACCAGGCCCGGTTTCTATTGTTGTTTAATCATCTCAATTTCCTCCGTAGCGGACGGACCCTTTCATCCTTCAGCCCTTCAGCCCTTTTTATTTCTGTGCCTTAATACTTCGCTACCTAATAAGGTAAGGTACCTAAGGTAACTGAAATCGAAGCCTCTCTCTCCCCTCACCCCTCTTCCGTCATCTACATGACTCGCGTGCCCTCCGACCTGCCGACCTGCCGCTGCCGCTCTCTCTCTCTCAACCCCCCCACCTCATCCACTACCACTACCGAACAATCTGCTAGTCCTGTCCCGGCCGGCCGCTTCTTTGCCTCGCTACTGTCTACTCTGACCTGCTTTGTGCTGTTTTGTTCCGTTCTTAGCTGGACTGGGCTGAACTGACGCACCGAAGTCCGAATCGAAACAAGATCTTGATACCCCCGCTACCCTTCCCCCGCCCGCCCGCCGTTGCCCCCTCGAACCCCTTCGCGTGTTTCTTACGCGATGATCCCCTCCGAGCTGTCGCAGTCTGCTCTGTCTGCCAAACTCGGATCTGAAGCCATGACACGAACTCGACCGACCTGCCGCCCCAGCCTGTCGTCGCCCCGGAACTGGCTCCGAGCCTACGCAACCGCGCCGACCAGAGCAACAGCCCTTACATACAAGGCCAGATCAACAGCCCTGTCGCCTGGCAGCTGCTCGACGATGAGGCTGTCGAACGCGCCAAGAGGGAGAACAAACTGATCTTTCTGAACATTGGCTTCAAAGGCCTGCCACTGTGCGTGCTCGACCCCACCATCCCATCCCATCCCTCCCTGCCTCCTGCCGCAGCTGAACATGCTGGTCTTTGCAGTTCGGCTCTTTTCCCAAATCACCCTCTCGCAGCGTCCTTGTCGACCTCATCAGTGCCTGTCAGGCTAAGAGAGAGAGAGAGAGAGACAGAGCGCCACATACACGCAGCAGCGCATCGCCCAGGATCCCACTTCTGACTTTTCGATAGACTGCCGCCTGACAGCCATCGACTCCTTCTCCCATCCCGAATGTGCCTCGCTCCTCAACGAGGCCTTTGTGCCTGTTATCGTGGACCGCGAAGAGCGACCCGATCTCGATACCATCTACATGAACTATGTCCAGGCCGTCAACGGTGCAGGCGGCTGGCCCCTCAACCTCTTCCTGACACCCGAGCTCGAACCCGTCTTTGGCGGCACCTACTGGCCTGGTCCAGGCGCACATACCAAGACGGGGCCCGAGGAAGAGGAGGGTGTTGACTTTCTGGCCATCCTCAAGAACCTGAGGAAGGTCTGGCAGGAGCAGGAGCCTCGGTGCCGCCAGGAAGCCAAGGAGGTCCTCTCCAAGCTGCGCGAGTTCGCCGCCGAGGGCACACTGGGCACACGTAGCACGGTCCAAATGAGCAAGATCGGCCTGACATCCTCGTCTACCGCCCCTGTCGCTTCGGCTGTCTCGACGGAGAACCCAGGTGCTGGAAAGACGGCCGCCGATGTCTCGAGCGAACTCGACCTCGACCAGCTCGAAGAGGCCTACTCCCACATTGCTGGCACCTTTGATCCGGTCTATGGTGGCTTCGGTCTGGCACCCAAGTTCCCTGTGCCCGCGAAACTGTCCTTCTTGCTGCGCTTGCCGCATTACCTGCATCCGGTCCAGGATGTCGTGGGCCCGACCGAATGTGCACACGCTACAGAAATGGCCTTGTTCACCCTTCGAAAGATCCGTGACAGCGGCCTGCGTGACCATGTTGGTGGTTGCGGTTTCGCGAGATACTCCATCACTCCGGACTGGAGCATTCCCCACTTTGAAAAGCTAACCTCGGACAATGCTCTCCTGCTGGGCCTGTATCTTGATGCCTGGCTTATCAGCAACGGAGACAAGGATGGTGAACTCTATGATGTCGTCGTTGAGCTCGCGGACTACTTCTCGAGCCCGCCGATGCGCCTTCCCGGAGGTGGATTTGCTTCCAGTGAGGCCGCCGACTCCTACTACAGGCGTGGCGACACTGATGTTCGCGAGGGCGCTTTCCACCTGTGGACACGCAAGGAGTTTGATGCTGTGATTGGCGACGAGCATGAGGCGACGATTGCCGCTACGTACTGGAACATTTTGGAGCACGGCAACGTGGAGCCCGACCAAGATCCGAACGACGAGTTCATGAACCAGAACATACCCCGCGTGCTGAAGGAGCAGAGCGAAATCGGCAAGCAGTTTGGCATCAGCGGGGAGGAAGTTGCCCGTGTCATTGCGTCGGCGAAAGCCAAGCTCAAGGCGCATCGTGGTCGGGAACGTGTCCGCCCTGAGCTTGATGATAAGATTATTTCCGGTTGGAACGGCCTCGTCATCTCTGCGCTCGCAAGGACAGGCGCTGCGCTGGCAGTCAAGGACGCCGCGAAGAGCGCGCAGTACCTGGGCGCTGCCATCCAGTCAGCTGAATTTGTGCGAGCGCAGCTGTGGGACGAAAAAGAGAAGACGCTATACAAGGTGTTCCGCGGCACTCGGGGCTCTACAAAGGCATTTGCCGAGGACTATGCGTACTTTATCGAGGGCCTCATCGACTTGTACGAGGCTACAGGCGAGGAAAACTGCATTGCGTTCGCCGACGAGCTTCAACGTAAGTTTGAAATTGTGCGAACTTGGAGCCATGGCTCCCCTGCTGACTTTTGTGGTACAGAAACACAGATTAAGCTCTTCTATGACGCCTCGGCTCCAACAACTTCGGCCAGCCCCAACCCTCTACCGGCTCACTCATCGTGCGGCGCCTTCTTCGCTACGACCGAAGATGCAAAGCACACCATTCTCCGCCTCAAGGATGGCATGGACACCGCCTTCCCCTCCAACAACGCCGTCTCCGTGTCCAACCTCTTCCGCCTCGGTGTCGCTCTCGCCACCGAAACCTACACCGCGCTGGCTCGCGAGACGCTCAACGCCTTTGAGGCTGAGATCCTGCAGTACCCCTGGCTCTTCCCCGGACTCCTCTCCGGCGTGGTCAGCTCCCGCCTCGGCGGTCGCACATATATCGTCGTACGAGACCCCTCTGGCGCCGACGACGAGACTGTGCGCAAGGTCTTTATCAAACTGTACGGCGAGGCGCGCGGCGGCCTGCGCAACCTGATCATCGTCAAGGGCCCAGATGACCTCGTCGTCAGGCGGAACCCGGCCCTCGCTGAACTGGTGGCTACTGGGAAGCCCGGGGCGTACGTCGTGGAGGGGGGTAAGTTCAGGCCATGCGCCAAGGAGGATGTGGAATACTAGGACAGACGGACAGATAGGCACAGCAGAGAGACGTGAGAAGGAAAAGGAAAAAAAGAACGCCGTCAGTGGCCAGATCTTCAGGCTGGGGACTTTTCCCAACGGAGTTTTGTTCCCTGGAGGATGTCGTCATTGTCATCTTTGCCCATTTTTCTTTCATCTTTTGTTTATTTTTTCTTCTTCTCTAGATATCAAAGCTCGTGGGGATGAAATGAGTGGTGATTCTATCGTTGGGAGAACTGAACGGCGATCGATATGCATTGCAACGTGCACGATGGGCGTGGGCGGGACGAAAATAATCAGACGGAACCTGCACAATTACTTCACTCATACTTACCCCTCTGGATGTTGCCAGTCAACGAAGCTGCTGAACTTGTCATTGCATAATGCCAGTCGGAACGAGTCATGCTTGAATTGTCATGTTCATTCGGGGGGTATCTAATCTACACAACAGTTGACAGTTTAGCGGGCAAGGGGGTTTCCACACATGTTCAACAGAGGCGCCGCGCCGTAGCCCTGCCGCTCGGCTCTCTGCCGTGTCTCTTCTTCTCTTTCGGCCCCTTTCTCTCTCCCTCTCGTTCGGTCGCCATCTCAGACGCCGGGCCGCGGGCTGCCCGCCGCGCCGGCACCCTTGCGGTTCATGAGCCCGCTGAAGAAGGCCTGCAGGTTCTCCGTATCCATGACCTCCGGGCCGTCGCCTGCTGCGGCGGGGCTCGCGGGCCCTGGGCTGCCAATGCCGGCGCCGACACCGGGGGCGGCGGCGGCCGAGTCTGGGGGCGAAGTCGTCGGGTCCGGGGTGCCATAGGCCTGGCGGTCCTTGAGACGCTGGACCATGTCGTCGGCGTCGACTTGGATGCCGCCCATGTTGAACTGCACGGGGCCAATGTGCTCGCTGACCTTGCCGTCGGTGGCGCCGTCGTCGGCGCGACGAACGGTCGAGGCGCGTGCATTGCTAGAAGCCATGGTCGAGGATCGTGCGACGTCAGAAGAGGCCGACTTTTGCTCGGCCTTGATCTTGAAAGCTTCGAGCGTCGAGAGGCTCGTGCCAAGGAAATCCTGCGTGTCCTGCGATTTAACCTCGAGGGAGGAGGTGGCGGCGACGTCCTGGCCGCCAAGCGCGAGTGCGTCGGCCGTGGACGACAGGTCGCGGATCCAGTCCTCGTATGGGGCGACGGCTGAGGTCCAGGCCTCACCGTCGTAGGAGCCTTCCGTCTTGGCCTTCGCTAGGACAGCAAGGCCCTCGGTCGTCATGGAGGGGGAGGTAAAATTGGACTGAAGGTCGTGGGACCAGCCAAGACTAGTGGCCTCAACGTCGAAGCCGTCGCGCAGAACACGGATCTTGCCCCAGGAGTCCCAGTTAGGAGGGACAAGAATCTTATCTCTGTCGATGACGTTGTGCTTGAGAGGCTGGCGTTTGAGGAGTGAGGTGATGCCCAGACTCGAATGGATGAGGCTCGGTAGTGGCGACGGTACGTTTGGTGTCGTGTAGATAAGTGATGAGCCGTCTGTGTGTGGAAATGTCAGCATCGACGTCGTCTCATGGCCCGGATCGAATGGTGACCTACGCCTGAGCAGCGCTGTACGAATGTACTGCAAAACTTGATCGAAGTCGCCTTCTTTCCAACCTTGGGATTTCTCCAACAGTTCGATCTTTTCGGCCTGTCATAAGGTCAGCGCATTGCCTCGACACCTTCCTCAGACGGACGACCTACGTTTTGGCAGACCACACAGAGCGGCAAGCCAAGGCCCTCCTCCCACTCGCCAGGACCGAGGGGTAACGCAACGTCGCCTTCGCTGGTCGAAGCGGCTGCCGTGCCATCGAGATTCATGGAACCGCCACCACGTCCCCTATCCCGCCACCCAGCCATTGCCTCCTCCATTGCCGTCTGGCACTCGCTGTCCGTCTTTTCCAAAACGCTGCGCATGAACAACACCCATTTTCGCAACTGGCGCATCCACAAGTGCGGCGCTGACCAGTCGAGCAGCACGACGACCAGAGTGTTGGGTATGGATTCGGGCGTGATCAGGGGTTCGAGGAGCCTGGGGAACGCTTCGGACGGGTTCGAGAGCATGTACAGGGATATCCGTGCGAGCGTGTCTACCAGCATCTGTCAGTCAAGAGCGTCTTGGCGGCACCGAGGGGGATGGTGCTCGCTCGCTTCGCCAGCCAGACGGACCTTCTTGATCGGCGTCCAGCACATCGTAGTACGTGTAGCCGAGGGCGAAGCTGTTGGCGACAGGGGGCGGCTTCGAACTCTGCCGATCGAGGGTGCGCTTCTCGCTGCTGTTGGAGAGGGCATCGAGAAACTCCCGTTGCGAGTCAGAGTTGCCGCCCAGGACAATGATGTTCTTTTCTGGCAGCCGTTTGCCGCTCGCTACCGAGTCGAGGAGGGTGCTCCAGAGATCCTTCTTTTCGGCATTGCGGCTGTCGGAGCCGGTCGAGACCGACGTGTATGTTGAGACCCGGTTTCCGTTCGCGGCCATGGTCAAGGCAATTCAGTGGCCGTCATGGGGATTTTGGTCGTCAGGGGAGAGAATGGTTGGGAGATGTGGTGTCGAGGAGTAGGGAGGTCGGTTGGGTGGGTGGATCGTCAAGCTTGACGCGTTTTAGCTCGAGGTTGCAACGGGACACAGGTGAAGGAGACCATGCGCCGAGACGACAGCTCGTGGGGGGGGGTCGAATGTGGACAGAAACCGCGAACAGACGGGGAGACAGGGACAGCAAGTCGATCACGGAGCTTCTTGGGGTCGTGCAGCAAGACTGGTCACCGCTTCGAACAACTGGGCCGGGGAGCACGTTCCCAATTCCCAAGAGGCCCCTTCTCATCACGGGCGAGTTTTGGAGGGACCCTGGTCGGGGAATTTGGCGTCTCCACCGGCCCGGCGTTTTTCCCGCCTAGAGTTCAGGTAGTGGCAGCACTGAGCCAGGCACAGTGCGTCGCTCGGAACATCGTTGGGGCAGCAGCGGCCCGCCCAAGCTTCGGCTTCCAGCGCATGGCGCGCTGGAACGGTAGCTGGTCAGTGCTCCACAAGCTCCAGTCTCGGCTGCTTGATCCCTTGTAACTTCTTGCAGCCTTGCATGCAAGTTCGTCATCCGCGCGCGCCAACTGTGACAGCCTTCTCCAACTTTCAAGGTCTGTGATCCACAGAGGTTGTCACCATGAACCAGATCAAGGCAATACAAGCTTTGAACAAGCAGGAAATAGAGAATGGAATGTGAGTTGCAGTCCTTCCCCAGTCGTCTCCTCCAGCGGGCGATCTTCTCTGACCTCTCCACCAGCTCGCCAGAAGCCTCCTGGCACGTCGACTACCGCGACACGGCCTTCATCTACTTCGGCGGCCTTCCCTACGAAATGTCCGAGGGCGACGTTATCACGATCTTTTCCCAGTTTGGCGAGCCCGTGTGGCTGAAGCTTGCGCGCGACAAGGAGACGGGCAAGGCCAAGGGGTTCGGTTGGCTCAAGTATGAGGACCAGCGCAGCACCGATCTCGCCGTGGACAATCTCGGCGGCGCAACAATTGGCAGTCGCATGGTGCGCGTAGACCATGCGCGGTACAAGTTCCGGGACGACGAAGACCCCGACGAGGGCAAAGTTGATTGGGCCACAATGACGAAACGGGAGAGTGGTGGTGGGGGAGACGACACGGAAGACGAGGAAGACGAGGAGGCCGAACAGAGGCCCATGCTACCTGAAGAGAGAGAGCTCGCCCTTCTCGTTCGCGATCACGACGAGGACGATCCAATGAAGGCTTTCCTGATCGAAGAGAAGAAGAAGGAGGTCGAGGAAGCAGTGCGCAAGTACGAGAGGTCGGAAAGGAAGAAGAAACACAAGCATCGACATCGGTCGCACCGGTCTAGGCGGGACCACAGCGACGAGGAGATGCGCGACGCAGAACGAGATGATAGGCACCGCCGTCGAAGGTCAAGGCGCGACGAGTCTCCGTCAGCCAAGGACAGAACGAAAGACTCCCGCCGTGAAAGACAAAGAGATGATGGCTCACCACATCGCGAGCCACGCAGAGAACGGGTCCGAGATGACAGGGAGCGAGACGCTAGGGACCAATCGAGAGATCGGCGGCACCGTGGCAAGGAGGATGATCGGGAGAGGCGAGAACGACGACGCCATAGTGACGATGAGCCGCGGCGAAGAACGCATAAGGACGACGGGGATGACGATCGTAGCAAAAGGCGCAGTCGCTCACGTTCGCCTCGGCCGAGAAGATAGATGCTATCTGAAAAGAAATGGTACTCAAGAAACCTAGTATTCAGGCCGTCATTGCGCTTGTATGCCTTAAAACTCGTTGCAGTCGTCACTGTGAAACCCAACCCCAGTCTCAACCGTGCGCCAATAGCCAAATGTGTGCGAAATCCATCGTTGTCTCCAGCCCAGCTTCGCCGCCGGAATCCCGTGTCTTCGAAAACGGCCCTACCTAGTGCCTCCCAGACAGCGTTTCCAGCCCTCGCGCACGCAGTCACGCTTCCCGTCTGGTGTTTCATGAGGCTTGCGAATCACAAATTTCTCCCACTTGGAATCACGTCCGGCACCGACAACGACTACTGTATTGTCGTCAATCCATCCGATCACGCCTTGCTGCGACTTAGACATGCTGCTGGCGAGGTCTTCTCTCGATTCAAACATGGCACTGGCGAATGAGTATGTGTCAGAGAAGACCCTCGGCATGAATGGCACCTTGCCCAAGAAACCCCATTTCCCCTTGTCATCCTTTGACGTGGAAGACTCGCCGTCTTGATCCGAGGCGGGCGCCACATTCAGATTTGGGTGCGGAACATCGAATATGTGCAATGTTGACTTGTCTGATGTGCAAGCCAGCATGGTGCCTGATGGATTGAAAGCGAGGTGGAAAATCGTGGAGGGGTCAACGCCGCGACGCAGCTCGGCCACCCTCGCGCGCGTCTTTGTCGACCAGATCCTGATCAGCGTGCCCTTGTCGCTCGCCGTGGCTAGAAGTTCGCCGTCACGGCTCATTTGCAGTGCTCGTAAGGCAGAGTTGTGCGCCGGGATAATGTTCACCGTCTTGATCGCTCGGTCAACCAGCTGGACGTGTCCGGACGTGTTCCCTGGTAATGCGAGGAGCCTGTCGGACATACAACAGAGACCGAGCGGGTTGTGTGTAGTTTCGTACTGGGTCACAAATTCTGGCTTCTTGTTGAAAGTGTGAAGACGAATGCTGTCCTGTAAGACAATGACGACGTGCCGCTGGCCGAGTAGAGGACCGAGGAGCACTCCTCGAATGGGCTGCACGAGGCTAATGTGCATGCCCCTCCTGTTGTTTTGGTCATCCCATATCACAACTTTATTCTGGGCAAAGTGTGAATGGGTGCCTCGCGCTACCAAGGCAACATAGTTGGTGAGATCGAGCATCTCAACCAATCCGATGGGCCCTTGGACATCTACTCGTATTAGCAGCTGTTTGATTCATTAAGGAGCAACCGACCGACTAACTTTTGATTGACCGCGGAGAACATGTTTCGGTAACGAAAACTAAACCGTGTCTTAGATCATGTTGGCTTTTCCTTGATGCTCACAGTGATGGCTTACCAGCATAGCCAGTGTCCAGCCCCAGTGTAAAGTGTGAAGCACTATTGTTGAAGGAGACTGACAGCACTTCTGTGGGTACTGCTGTCTCTATTGGCGGGCGCGTGTACATGATGTGTATGTATATGTCCTTTGGGGCTTGATTAGGGCTCCTGGGCTGGATAAAGCATCGACGAGCGGCCAAACGACTTGAGTATGGCTGGTGGTTGGGCCGCAGAGCCCGTGAGGGTTTTGGTGATGGCGAATTGTACTATGTGTTCATCCTTGAGAATGTCGGTCTCTTGGCCTCTTGTGCTGAGACCCCACAATGAATGCAATGGGGTCAGGTGGCAGGACTGGAGCTGCTACGCTGTGAGAAGACTTAAGACAGGGTCGTAAAGGAGATTGGTTTGACCTGGCGCTTGGGCGTGTTCGTCGAGACTTTGTCGCAGTGAGAGTGATGCTTTTGAGGACCCTGGCGACGAGGTATATGAGGGAGGAAGGCGGGGGCTGCAAGTGTGGAAGGCTGCAAGCAACAGGACGTCAGATTCCTGAATGATGGGGTGCTCAATGATAGTTAGGTCCGAAGGCAAAAGTGAGGCTCGGAATGCTAGCGGCGCGACCTGTTTCCAACGGTGATTTATGGTCGATGAATATGATGTGTCGAGAGTCAGATGGCCAAGTTCATCTGGACGAGGTAGGTAGCTTGCGTAAGTACCCCAGGCTCCGACTGACGGTGGAGGTGCATGGATGTGGTTGGGGATGAAGACGCCTCATCCACACCAAAACGGTTTAGTGAACCTTTCACACTGTCCGCCTGCCGCCCGCCTGGTACAACAGCAAGATGCCGCCTCCCTCCCTAGTTACATACCTGAGTTAAGGTACCTGGCAGGTCGGTCAGTAAGCAGGCATTTCAGGAAGCTGGCACCTCAGGACGCAAGGAGCTCAAGCCACCCCTGAGATCTTGTGACAGAGCTGCCCGATCAATCAATGCACCAAACGAAACGCGCTTCTGAACGAAAATACCCCGCACTTGACGCTTGCCTCTTTAGGGAACGATGAGATACCCGCGAAAGGTCAGTCATCTCAGGTACCTAAGGTAGAGAATTGGAGGGTGGGACAGCGAAACAGGGGTCTCTTTGGTTGTGCCAGGCGCAGGTCTCCTTCTGCCCACCTCCCTCTGCCCCTGAATTGGTCTCGCACGAGCTAAGCAGGCGGCACTTGATGAACGTCGATGCACATCAATAGACTGAGCTATGATGAAGATAGTAGACAGGCCAGAGACTGTGCTGCCACCGTTGACCATCAATCAGAATGCAGCATCAAGCACGGTGCGCCGCTCCCCCTATGTGCGGCGTACTTGTAAGGCAGCGCCGGCTGGGTGTCGATGGTGGGGATTGGCCAGAACCCTCCTGCCGTGACATTTCGCTGTGAAATTGCTTTCTACGACTCCCGTCGGTCAACGAAT